CCACACACTGAGACATGAGTGAAGAAGAAGGAAACGTACAATCTACGTATTCGACTAAAGGCTCTTTCCACTGATCTACTATAATTAAGTTATAGGCCCTACTTCGGTATATCGACTTAACTTTCTTATCAAAGAGAGCACCCAGCCAAGCCTACTACTGCTCCACAATCAATCAACCAGGCTGGTCGCGCGAAAATATAAAAAGGAAGACGAAACGAACTTCATTTCGAACTTTCACAGGGTCGATGGTAGGTAGTAAAAGTCCAAATACCATGGGCCTTACGAGAGTAGCTAATACCCTGGCTACTTAACTCTTCAGAAGCTTTAGTTGTAGCCAGCGAGCAAGTAGAGATCCAACCACACTCGCACCACGCCTTCCCGCCACGAACAACGTTCCGCCCGTCTATAATAGCTTTAGCTAAGACCAGCCTTCTTCACTCTAGGCCGCTGTAGTATACATAGCAATCGAACGGATGAGGGGTGGGTGACAGGGGAACATCTTGGATAACAAGTTCGGACAAGACAAGGTATCTGGGGGTCTATGCGAGAGAGAACGGCATACTACAGCGGAGAGACACTGCACCCCAATCAGGCGACATATCTTTTTTTTTTGAAAGAATTCTTGGTATTGGTATTCTGCTAGTGAGACAATATCTGCTCCTCCTCCTCCTCCTCTCTGCCATCCAATCCAATTCCCACACATCCTCCCAACCAGTCAAAACCTATGTACATCCCGCAAACCCTCCTCTTTCTACAGCCCAATGTGAGAGCTCGTTGTGTTGTTCCAAAAAGTCCGCCCACCTAGGGCTAATCGTATATCTAACCCTTTCGCAAAGAAACCAACAAGTAGAAGAAGAAGAAGAAGCGAAGAAGAGAGAAGGGCGGTCATATGTATTCGTGAAGACCACGCCCAGAACAGCCGGGAGAAACAACAAGAAACAGAAAAGTAAAAAGCAAGATGGCTGGGTATCCGCTACCATGAGGACGTTGAAGCTCAGGACGGCGGAGGCTGTCAGATTCGAACACCGCTTTTCGATGTGATCCGATCCGGTCCAGCAGAGTAAAAGGAAAAAAGGCGCAAGACAGCGGCATGGAGAAAGAGCAGCTCGCTGGACTAGAAATTAAGGTATGCTCAATTGGGCTTCCCTCGACAGAACGGGCCTTGTGTGTTTCGTTCGTTCGGTTCGAGGCAGAAGATGCAAAACGAAAAGGTTTTTTGTACACTTCGCATGGCAGAGAAAAGAACAGGGAGATGGGAAAAGATCGAACTCCATCTCTTTGGAATGAAAAGCCTCGGTTACCGCTGGATGATCACACAAACCATCCCTACATGGCATTAGCGCCAGGGTATCTCGATTGATTCGATAGGCCGGGGCCGGGTCCCATCATCGTCGCAGGAGGCATGTTCATTGCGCCTCCTCTTCCTCTGCCGCCCATGGGGCCGCCGCGTCCTCGTCCGCGTCCCCGGCCTGCGCCAGGGATCGCGAAGTCGGGGTTTGCGGCGTTGGCTTCGAGGATCACGTCTTCTTGACGCATGGGTCTGCGTGGAGGGCCAGGTGCGAAGGGCGCGAATTGGCCGGCTGGGGCACCCATTTCCGGCCGCCAGTTGGGGTTGACGGGGCGTTGCGAGACGGATGTGAAATGTGATGCTTCGCTTGCGGCGGGCGAGCGCGCGCCTTCTGGTAGGTCGTCGTAAGAACTGTTGCGCGGGAGGTTTGTGTCGCTTCCGTTGCCTGTAGAGAGGAAGTTGGGGTTTGGCGGAGCGAAGCCGCCTGGCATGAGGGAGCTTGGTAATGGTGGAGGCGCCTGGGCTTGTGCGGGCTCTGCGAACCTGGGGTCTACGTCTTCGTAGTAATCTGAACTGCGCTCCACCCTGTTAGGGCCACCAATGTGAGATATGTGAGCAGGCATTTCGACAGGTGAGTCTTGGATCGGCGATAGCCCGCGGCTACTGTTGTTCAATGTGTTGAGACTTTGGTCTGACGGGACCTGTTGCTGGTTCCATCCCGCTCGTACAGGCATGTATTGCTGCTGTTGTTGCGGCATAGGCGGTTGTTGTTGGTGTTGTAGAGGCTGCGGTCGTAACGCCGACTCACTGTTCAGGGTCAGCAAGATACATAAAGGGAAATTTGACGCGAAACTTACTCTGTGGAGTACTCGCTGGTCGGGCTCATGACGCCATCCGATGGCCGCCTCTGGGGCGCACCGGCGGGGAAGCCACCTTGCTGGAGAGCAAGCATGCCTGCAACATCACCGTCGCTTTCCCTCAAACCAAAGTTTGTTGGAGGCGTGCCTGTGCGGTTGTCCATTTCGATGGCTTGTCCAATCGGCAGCGGTGGCCCCTGACCAGGCGGTGGTCCTCTGCCATAGGGTGACTGTTCACGGGGCGGTGGCCCTTGGTTGTAGAAGTTACCGTTGTTGTATCCCGGAGGAGGCGCTCCTCGGCCCATTGGCGGCTGGCCTTGCATTGGAGGTCCATTCGGAGGTCGTCCGCCTCGTCCACCACCGTTCCATCCCGGCGGCGGAGGTCCGCGCATACCTCCTCTTGGTCCGTAGCCTCCTCCTCTCGGGCCGCCATACTGTCCACCTCTTGGTGGGCCTCCTCGACCCCTCATCGGACCTCCTCTTCCACGTGGCGCGCCATTCATCATGGCGTATTGGTCGTTTGGCATGGGTGGCACGGGGTTGCCATACTGATCCATGGGCTGTCGACGACCTGAGGGACCGCGGTTCGGTGGGTTCATGTTGTCCGAGCCGTTTCCTCCGCTACTAACGGTCTTGAGAGAGGGATTGCGCTGGTTCAGCGGCGTCATGTCGTCGGTCGGCGATGGCTTAGAATGGTCGAAGTAGGCTGCATTACCGTCCCTGCCTCCAGAGGTCATGGTCTCTCCAGACAGCGGAGGCGGCGACTCGGCTTTGGGAAATTCGGAAGCTACAGTCGCATTGGCGCGGTTCGCGTAGTAGGTCTGGCCGTTCATCTCATCGTTCTCGGCAATGCGCCTCTTACGAGCCTTGCGACTGACCAGTGTGCGCCTCATAGCGCACGTAACGATACCACTTGCGACGATAATGACGGTAGCACCTAGCACGATCCATCCTCCCCAGCCCACATGCGGCACGAACAGCAGGATGTCAACGAGGAAAGCGAGCAGCGTGACCAGCAGAGTCGGGAACGTGAATATGAGCAAGGCGAGGAGGTAGCGCGGCGAGTGGGCGGGCGAGTGGAAGTGGGCAGCGACGGAGAGACCGAAGCAAATCAGCGTCATGAGAGCTGCGACGGGGTGCACGATGAGAATGGAGGAAAGCGCATGGCGCTGGGCAGAGGGCAGCGAGAAGTCGGAGCTGTCTTCGCCTGCGAACAGTTTCTCTGTTTGAACAATTAGCACCACGGCCGTCGTATGTGATACAGGGCGCCATACCAGTGTTGTACCCGATCATGGGCCCTTTGCAGCCTTGGTCGCCATTCTCGCAGTAGCCGAGGACGCCAAAGTGGACGCCGCGGTAGGTAGCGAGGGGAATGCTCTTGATCAGAGGCGTCGAGAGGGTCGAGAGCAGCAGCAGCACAAAGGCGACGAAGAATAGTATCGATAAGGGGGTCGCAGGGCGCAACATGTTGGCGAAGAATAACGGAGGCTACCGCGTGGAATTCCGGCTCGCCAGAGACCGGCTCTCTCAAAGGCGACGACGTGGTGTTGGGGAGGGCGATCGGACGTGTGCGCGACGAGGGTGAAGGTGCAGACGGTCCGCAGTCTCGTAACAGTGGGCGCAGTCGTAAACGTGCCTAAGCGCACTCTTGCCCTGACGTGAAACGAGTGACGATCGAAGTTACACCAGTTATGCCTGTTGGGTCATTGATGCCTCGAAGGAGCTTGAGCGTGCGCGACGACGGCTGGACACGCGATGAGGCGCTCTCGAGGGGGCAGGCGCTGGCTGTTGGGGGTTGCGGGGAAGCGTGGTAGGCTTGGGACACGCCTGGAGGAGGTGGGCGGAGGGCTGGAAGGAGCGACGGTGCAGCAACAGGAAAGAGCGGACGCGCAGCCAATCAGCGGCGTGAATGGCGCGAGGTATAGCGAACGTTGGAACTATGCCGGCTAGTCGCTGCAGTAACTTGGTATTGACGCGGGACCTATCGAGCCGTTGACGTTGACCCAGACGTCTAAGCTGTCGCGCTGTGAATGAATGTAGCGTGTTGGACGACCCCCGGCGGCAGTATTTTCGCGGGTAGCCCCGTTGTCGCGCCCCTTGCCCTCGCAGCAGGCCCGTCTTACCTGCGACTTTGCTTTGTGTTCGGAGCATCAGTCGGAGTCGCACGCGTCCACGCTGCTCTCCCGCCCCAGTTTGGCAGGGATATCTATCGTCTCATTTCGCGTAGACGCACGGCCCATCATCCAGGCACTGAGAACACCGTTGCTCTGCTGCGTGCTTCAGACGAAGCCGCTGAAACACAGACCCTTTCTTCTTCCTGGTCCTGAGGCAGCGCAGCGACTGTCAACACCAGCCATCGTGGTCGCCATCTGCTTCGACGACGTTGCGGGCCTCGCCTGGTAAATACACTGCAATGCGTTATCGCCTCGAAACAGGGCACGAAATAGCGCCCTCCTATCAACTGCAGCCAGATCCCGGAAAAGGATCAGGCCAGCGCCACCAACCTATATCACCTCACCTATCGCATTCCACGCGAGATGCTCTTTGTTTGAGCCTTCCCGCCTATATCTCCCACACTACAGATCCACTCGACCCGTTGCACAGCCCGCACGGCTCCACGCTGTCGCACGTCCATTGAACATTCAAAGCATTTCATGTTTGGGCAAGACTGAAGTGTTTATTTGCTTGATTCTCAGACCTCACATGGTATTCGTATGATATGCAGAGACTCCAGATCCGATCAACCTCCCCACAAGTGATCATGAACGCCTGAATTTTGGGATCGAGTCCTGCACCTATCTTCATGAACTCATGGGTACTTCATATCCTAACCTACAACTACGCCAGCGTCACGCTTAGTGAGCAATGGCGTACGCCCTGCGGCGGTCACGCTCCTCAGCAATGGAGAGCTTGACACCCTTACCCTTGGGCAGAGAGATCCATGGCTTCTCCTTTCCGATGATGCTGAACGCACGTTAGTAGTCGTTCTCGTTCTATGCGGATATCCAACTTACATGACGTTGGACTCACGAGTGGTGAACTCGTTGTCAACAGCGTCCTTCAAGTGGACAATGTTGAAGCCTCCGTCGTGGCGCTCACGGTGAGTGATGACACCGACACGACCCATGTTACGACCACCGGTAACCATGACAATGACACCAGTGTCGAACTTGATGAAGTCGGAGATCTTGCCAGTGGCGAGGTCGACCTTGACGGTGTCGTTGACCTTGATGGCTGGGTCGGGGTAGCGGATTCTACACAAAATTTTAGCAGCAATTCGGACATAGCCAGACCCTGGTCGTATGCCTGGTGAAAGAGGTTTCCCTCAGACACCTAGCCCAAACTGTGGTCCAACGGCTGATAGAGCGGGAACTTACGTTCGCGCATCGTGCGTAACCAAGTAGGGAATTCCGCCCTTGCCAAGCTGGACGCGCTTGACCTTGCCGAGCTTGTATTGTGCCTCCTCATCTGTTATCCTGTGGACGGTGAAGCGGCCCTTGGTGTCGTAGATCAGGCGGAAGTTCTCGCCGGTCTTCTCGATGGAGATAACGTCCATCAGCCCCGAGGGGAAGGTGGAGTCGGTGCGGACCTTGCCGTCGACCTTGACGAGGCGCTGCATGAGAATGGCGTTGACCTCGCGGGCGTTAAGCGCATACTTCAAACGGTTGCGGAGGAAGATGATGAGGGGAAGGGAGTCGCGGAGCTTGTGAGGACCGGGGGAGGCCTTGGGAGCATAGGCACCTGGAAGATGTCAGTTCTGAAGTCGCGATAGCCATGGCATCGCAAGTTGCGGGAGTCAAGCGTACCGGACAGCTTGTCCAGGAGCCAGTGCGAGGGCGCGCTGAGGCGCTTCTGGTGCTTGACGGGTCCACGGGCCATTGTGACGGTTCTGTGAGGTTAGTCGTTGAGATTGGAGGTCCTGTCGAAAGCGAAGTTCGAGAGACTGGAGTCCTCATTTTTCGTCTGCCACTAGCGTGTGCCGTAGCCGAGGACTAGCGCGCCAAGCCAGCCCTGGAGTGCTCCGATGCCCCATCTCAAGCGAGGGGAACTCAACATCTTGGAGCTCAGGTGTCTACTTTCACGTCAAATTTTTTGTTCTGCCTGTTTTATCATCGGATGAAAGATGAAATCAGCAATTCTCGCGTCAATGTAGGATTCAGGGCGGATCAGAACAACACCATGGAGTTTTCTCACATCACGATCAACGAGCACTCAATCACCAGACCGTCTCTAGACTCCAAATGTGTGCAATTGAACATTTTCTTGCATCTAAGTTGTATCATTGTTCTCAAGCCTAAGCATACCCCTTCAGCACCGCCGCCTCCGCGTTCAATATCGACGATCCCGCTGCTCCAATGACCGCTGCAACTAGTTAGCGTTCGCCCAAGTATCTGCATTCGCAAGTCAAACTTACTGTTGTGGCTCAAAGCAACGAACTTGAGATCGAAGATGCCCGCCTCATCCTCTCTTATCCTACCAACGCTGACCGCGTACCCCCTATCCGTCTCCCTGTCCAGCCTTGGTTGTGGCCTATCCGGCTCCTCCATAACCACAATCGCCTTCGCGGGCGCAGACGGGCAACCCAGCTTCTGTGCATCAGACACGTACTCGCGCATTGCCTGCTTGACTTCTTCCGCGCTCGGTGGCGGACGGCGTTGGAAACGTAGCGATACACATGCAGTGTGGCCGTCTAATACCGGCACGCGGTTGCATGCTGCGGACACCTTCATGGGCTGATCTACGAATCCTGTGATATCGTCGTTGACGCTACCCAGGATCTTCGATGCTTCTGTCTCGAGCTTGTCTTCCTCGCCTGATATGAAAGGCACGACGTTGTCGATGATGTCCATGCTGCTTACACCGGGGTAGCCAGCGCCGGAAACGGCCTGCATTGTGACGACAGAAACTTGGTCTATGGGACCGAACCTGGCTTGTAACGCTGCGAAGGGTATGACGAGACCGATAACTGCGCAGTTGGAGTTGCAGACGAGGAAACCCTTCTCCAGCTTGTGGTGTTGCCGTTGGTGCTTGATGACATCGAGATGGGGGAGGTTTACGGTGGGTACGACGAGCGGCACGAGAGGGTCGCGGCGGTAGTTCTTTGCGTTGGAGAAGACGGCGAGTTCGGACTTGAGGAAGGCCATCTCTGTTATGTGTCAGTATTTGTAATCGCAGCCTGGAGTGAATTACGTACCAACGTCACCAGCAACATCGCTGTCAAGACCAGAGAAGACCATGTCACAGTCCTTGAACTCTTCCGGTGTGCACTTCTTCACCACCAGCTCTCCAATGCGCTCCGAGAAGGGCAGCGCCTGCTTCCACTTGACCGCATCTTTGTATTTCTTGCCGGCTGATCGCTCGGAGGCTCCAACGGCGTGTAGCTCGAAGTGTGGGTGTAGCGCAAGAAGGAGGATGAAGCGCTGGCCGACGGAGCCAGTCGCGCCGAGCACACCTGTAACGGGGTCAGTTGGCTATTTCCAACCAGAGATGGTCTACACACCGCACTTCTTCTTGGGGAAGTTTTTGCTCTGAGATGTAAACTTTTCAGCGTCCATTGTGGTGGTGGTTGGTATTGCAAGATTGAGTCAATCGAGTTCACAAAGTTCTGGCTAGGTATGACGCGGGGGTGGGGTGGAAAACGCGACACCAGCCGATCACGGAGGTCTTGCACGCGCTCATTTGCCGACTGTCTTGCCATGAACAACACTTTTTTATTACCAGACAAAACCAACACTAGACGATGGAGCGGTAAGAAATCTAAATATGCTCTTTGCAGATGCACCGATAGTCAAGCGTCCTCCAATGCGTGTACGTCGAGGAACTTCAGACGATGCGCCATCTCGACATGCAATGCTACGCCTGAGCGTCCATGATCTTTCCTGGGTTCATGAGCCAATACGGATCCAATGCGCCCTTGATGCTTCTCATCACATTGATAGTGTCGAGACCGAGTTCTTTCTGCAACGATTCTTTCTTGCCCAGCCCAATGCCGTGCTCGCCGGTACATGTGCCATCCATCTCTAGCGCACGGTCGACCATGTCATGAACGCACTTCTCGACAGCCGCTCGCTCTTTGGGATCTTTGCTGTTGTACATAATGCTTTCGTGGAAGTTGCCGTCTCCGATATGACCTAGGATGCTGGCGAAGAGACCGAGGTCATCCATCTCCTTCTTAGAGATTTCTTTCAACAATTAGTTCGCAACCTCCGGAAACCTTGTATTCGCTTACATACCTATAATGTCTGGGAGCCTGGAGATCGGCACGGCGACATCTGTCGACCAAACTTCGTCGCCTTCGCGACGGAGCGCCAGCATGCTCCATAGGGACTCCTTGCGCGCAGACCAAAGCGTCTTCTGCTCCTCGGCGCTGACGGCGAATTCGAAGTCCCCGCTCTTGTGTTTCCTGGAAATGGACTTGACCAGCTCAATGTTCTCCTGTACCTATATGCAGTCAGTTCCGCTCTAGGTAATTGCAGGACGCGTAGGGCTGACGTACCCCTGCTTTGGTTCCCGAAAATCTGTTTGAGGCTCTTAGTTCGTGCTTTCACATGTCAAGGGATGTTCTGGAAACTTACTTGAAGAACATGGTCGGCAATTCTTTCCACTTTTTGGTCGTTGATCCGGCTTTGTTGATTACACCCATCTGCACGTCATCCATTATCTCCATCGCAGCCACCGGCACTCCGGCGCGCAACACCTTGGAAGCTGCGGCAGCGGCATCCCGTATCGTGGGAAAGGTGACGACTGCGACGCTGGTCTCTTGTGGTACTACTGCGAGTTTCAAAGTGATCTCAGTCACGATACCCAGGGTGCCTTCGGAGCCAACGAAGAGGTTGGTAAGATTGTAACCGGCCGATGACTTCCTGGAAATAGTCAGTCTATCGCACATTCCGACACGGAAACAATTTGCATACCTGGGCCTTCTTCTGGTCTTGATGATCGTGCCATCGGCAAGGACTACAGTCAGATTGATGACCCAATCCTTCATCGTGCCGTATCGCACTGCGTTGGTGCCACTAGGAGGGTCAGCTGTTGGACCACGTCACTGACCATCATAGACCTTACCTGCAGCTCGTACCCACCATACCTCCAATTCGGGCCTGCCACGCCCGTTAGAATGAACTCGGAGTTCCGCATCGGGGTTTCCGAGGGTTGATTGCAAAGTTGTGTAACACATGACAACGTACCGATGGGCCAGGGTCGACTGGGAAAAATAACCCCGAGTCTTTGATCTGATCATTGAGACTCATCCATGGGACAGAAGGCTGAACCACTACGTCCATACTACGCATCACTGTCAGCGTCGCCAGTCTTGCATGCTAAACGTATAATTAACTCACTCATCTTCGTGCAAGGCCAGGATCTGATCCATGAACGAGAAGTCAATGCTCATGCCACCGAATGGAGCCGAGAAGTTGGCCTCCAAACTTGATCCCCCAGAATATGGGACTGCGCGCTGTCAATACTCATCTCTCCATGCGTCTTGTTGAACGTACTCATCGGTATCTTGTACTTGTAGCAGACCTTGGCGATCGTAGCACATTCTTCAGTGGACTTCGGATACGCCACCGCAACGGGAAGTTGGTCGATGTTGATAGAAGACCATTCCGAATACCCGTGTCGGTGCAAATCTTCGTCGTCGGTGCTGATGGTGTCTTCCCCAAGAACATCCCTGAGCTCTAAAATCGCCTGTAATGACCTAAGTGTCTGGTGGATGCGAAGGAACTTTATGGTTGCAAGCTTACTCTCTCCATCTCGTATTTGTTCGCATATTGGGGCCCTGATGACTTCTTCCATGGCATCTGAATTCTGTGCGGTTCGTCATTGGCGCCGTAGAAGTATGTGGTCGTTCCGGTAACTGCAGAAAATAGCAAGACCCGTCCTGAGTTCCAAAATGGCCTTTGAAGTTGTTCGGCTTTGAAGGTCTGCTCGCGTCCAGTGCGTGCTCGAGCGCCACCTCGCTTGAAGATGGGTGAGGTTATTTGCCTCAGTCGCGCCGCTGGCTGGCGGAACATGACGAAATCGACAACGAAGAAGGGAAAATGAAGTTGCAATCAGTTGTTGGGATGCTGGGAAGAACTAGAAGTGGAATCCACTTTCGCTGAGTATGGGTCAGGGCGCATTTAGCGAACTAGTATGACAGAAGAGTGGAGGAGAAGATGGTTGCAAGGCTGGCCTACGCATTTTGTGGATCTAGAAGCCGAACGGCAAGCACAGTAAGAGCGGGGAGAGGTTATTTCAGTCTAAACGCAGTTGGCGCGATAGTTCTTTCGGGTATCGCTTTGAGCGTCGTTGGCCAGCGCACAGGTAAAGTCGCAATACACGTCCTAAAAGTCGTGGGATGGACCAGTGATAGCGTGGGAGGCTGACGAGATTCCCGATTTTCTGTATCAAATTTTTCGGCTCACGCATCAAATGAAGTCGTGCATGATCACCTGCAAGGGGCTTGGACACACGCAAGGTAATTGCGGGGAAGACCAGGGCAACGACAAGCAAATGTGTTGGTTCGAGACGCATCGTGGCGACAGGTGACGCTGGATGACATTCCGAGCGAGATGCCGTCGCGTGACGAGGCGTTCGCTAGGGCCCCGAGCGGCTGCAGACAAGGACCGAAGATGTGGATCTGGAACTCTGCGGACGACCATGATACGCTGCTGCCATGTATGTTTTCTTTTCGAGAGCGAGACAAGTGGCAGAAGAGGCGCCTGTCAGGGACAATCGTCTACCCCGATGTCTGATGCCCATGGCTGAGGCTCAAAAACAGAAGCTTGGAAGGCTTGGGGAGAAGCTGAGCGGCAGACTTACCCTTGGCGATTGGACGACGGTGATACCATTACCTCACGAAACTTGTTCCTCTCGTCTGTGCAGCTCAGATGCTGGCTGACAATCGAGCGAGTGGGGGAACAAGCTGCACATGAGCGTTTGCCGTACCCCACGCGCGATCTCCAGGCGTCTGCTTGTCGGTGAAGCCAGAAAGCCGGAGGAGGCCGGTGGATGCCGCGGTAACGGCTACAGGTCAAGGCAGACGACTACTCCCATATAGTACTGAAGCGGGATACCGTATACGGCTCCCATGAGCAATGTGATAGAACGCCATTAAGCTCGAGACTGCAAAGGAACTGCCAAAAGCAAAGACGACGCGTAGAGTCTATTACCACCAATGGGAGGTAACGTGTGAGCGGAGAATAGAAAGAGCCCCGCAATGCCTGCAGGCTAGCAATGTTGCGCCCAGCAGCTGTACGATCTATAGATGGCTGACGTCAATAGGCAAACATGTGGAGTGCGAGCAGGAGCAGGGAGTGGAGTGTGAGATGTTGGCGCAGTATGCATGGTCGCGTGCATTGATGCCAATGGGGAAGTCGGCGATCCCGGCGCGTCTCTTCGGCCGTCGCCAGAGGAACGCGACAGCAAACAAGTTCGCGTCACAAATCCACGCATAACGAACATTCGGCCCAACTCCGAACATAACTCGATCCAGCAGACATGGCGGATATCAGCGCAGAGTTGACGTCGGAACTGACAAGGATCATCGAGTGTCCATACCCCCCTTCGCTATCCGTACGTATTTACGTATTTGCCCCTCATCTTCCCCAACTCCAATGCATCCTCATGTCGTGCCACTAGCCAACTCCCGTATTTGAGCACATGACTCGCTGCATGAGCATCCCATCGTTGATGAGATGAGCTGACGCGAGATCCCACAGAACCTATCCGATCTTTTGGCGCGCGTCGACGTACCGACTATCCGATCATGCGTCCAAGACCGGTCACCTTGCGCGGTGAGGAAACTAGGCAGGATTGTCCACGATGCACTGTCCCTGAACGCATACACGCTTCGTGTGCTGCACCTATTGTGTAAGCAGTTGACCGGTCTCCGCTTGATAGTAGAAACGCAATCAAACTGACTACGTGTTCCCAGGTCATGCGCCAGAATTTCGAGATGAGCTACTGGTCCTGGAGCCGTCCCTACTCCCTTCTCTGTTGAAGAGGGCAAATTCATCAAAGTCCGAATTCGAACATGTGAGTACGATAATTGTAAGGTACATCACTTACTAACAATGATCTAGCTTGCCGAGCTATGCGTGCTTCTTCTTTCTCGCCCACTGCCCGAGGCAATACCATTACCCGCCGTAGCACAAAACTTCTTTCTTAATGTCTTCGAAAACGCCACACAGCAACCAAACTACGAGACCCTGAAGTCAGTGTACCGTATGCTCAACGGTGCATGTCGACGACTTTACAGCCTTCTTCCCAGAGATCTGAGGCAGCGGTTCGACACAGAGTTGTGCAATATACTCAGATCCCCGAAAGTCGCCGATTCCTCTTTGCTGTTTTTATGGGCAGAAGGTATAGTGCTCATCACGGAACATCCCGAGGGAGTCGACGGACTGCAAAATCTGCCTGCTGACGAGGAGCCGACATCCACCGAAAGGCTAAGACAACATTGGGCAACACCTTCAGGCCAAAAGCTGTTCGGCTCGACAAGCTACTTATACAAGACTATTGAGCTCACTTGTTTGAACGTAGTGTGGATTCTTCGAGGCGGAATCAAGGA